GAATGTCTAATGCTAATTTTGCCTGTCATTTTTTGTTTTTCTCCATGCTTTGAAGTACAAGTCCTAGGGTGTGAGCTGCTATGGCTCAATGGCATGAAATATCATAACCCAGTGTGGCTTTGTTCACAGCCAGGCATGTTCTAAACATTTTGGAATCTTTTTACAGTGAGATAAAATTCACCAATTTGGCTGGACGAGGTGGGTCATGCCTGTAATCCTAACACTTTGAGAGGCCAAGGCAGGCAGATTGCTTGTGTCCAAGATTTTGAGACCAGCCTGGGCAACATGGCAAAACCCCAGCTCCACCAAAATACAAAAGTTAGCCAGGCATGGTGGGGCATGCTTGTAGTCTCAGCTACTTAGTATGCTGAGGCAGGAGGATCATTCGAGTCCAGAATGTGGAGGTTGCAGTGAGTTGAGATCATGCCATTGCACTCCAGCTTGGGTGACAGACCAGGACCCTGTAACAAAAAATAAATAAATAAATAAATAATCGATTAAAACCAATCAGCCATCATAGTTATAGGTACGCAGCCATAAATCATCTCATTTGACTAGGCCTGTTTGCACTGCACCACACCTATGTGCATCTCTATAGGCTGGTACCAAGGCTGTTGTTTTCATGTTGCCTTAGTTTTGGTACAGTGCAGAGACAATGCATACTGATAGTTGCCAGTGATTCCTAGAAAGCATCAGGACTATCTTCACAAAAACAATTCTATCCAGTGAGGAGTAGAATCATTTCAAGGGAATAATTTTATTTAATTTAACGTTAGCTCCAGGTCCACTTACCAATCCTTATCCATAATCTCCATTACAAGGCCAGATTTTTTTTTTTTTTTTTGAGATGGAGTCTCACTCCGTAGCCCAGGCTGGAGTGCAGTGGCACAATCTCGGCTCACTGCAACCTCTGCCTCCCGGGTTCAAGTGATTCTCCTGCCTCAGCCTCCCCAGTAGCTGGGATTATAGGCACCTGCCCCTGCGCCCAGCTAATTTTTGTAGTTTTAGTAGAGATGGGGTATCACCATCTTGACCAGGTTGGTCTTGAACTCCTGACCTCGTGATCCACCCGCCTCAGCTGCCCAAAGTGCTGGGATTACAGGCATGAGCCACCACGCCCAGCCGCAAGGCCAGAATTCTTTGGTGACTGAACAAGCTAATCAAAGACAGAGTGGTGGAGCAAAAGCAGCCTCGAGTTTCCCAGCCTTTGTGTCATATGGCCACACTTCTTCACGTGGTTCGCTGCCTGCTCTCCTCTCCTGGAGACCTTCTCCTTCCTCATTATGTTTCACTTCCTGCTCTTGTTCATTATTTCATTCTCTTTGCTGAGTTCCCTTCTTTCAAAGTTTATTTCAGTTTGCCATCTGTTTAAAAAAAACAATGTATTGAATTTAGAGGCAGGGTCTTGCTATGTTGCCCAGGCTGGTCTTTATTTAATTCCTGGGCTCAAGCAATCCTCCTGCCTCAGCCTCCCTTCAGACAGGAGCCACTATGCCCAGCCATTTTGCCATCTCTTTTACTCTCAGTAGACTCCCCGTGGGGACCTCATTCATCCCATGACTTTGTCCATCACCTCTATGCAGATGATGCCTAAATCAGTAACAACAGCCTTGTCCTAAACATTAATTTGTTATTTCCAACTGCCTTCTAGAATCTATTTCACAGATCCTTCGAAGTGAACATGTCCAAACTCTCTCTCTCTCTTTACCCCAAATCTGCTATTCTTCCCTATTTCCTAAAAAAGTTACTGGCTCATCCACCTTGTAAACTTTGTGGGCCAAGAAGAATTAACAAAGCCAGCCCAAGACTGCCTATCCTTAGGAAGTCCTGCTTACGAGGTTGGCCCTCAGCTGGCAAACAGTTCCCTACGCTGATATCAAACTTTCCCTAAATGATAAGAAGTGTTCACTTTGCCTAAACTTCTGTGCAAACAATGTGGTTTATACTGAATGCCTGTTTTCCTTCCGGAGGTCTTGATTTTTGGTAAATGCTAGGCAGAAGGGACCTATGTGACCAGCTCCCAGTTGAAACCCTGAGCCCTAAGTCTTCAATGAGTTTCCTTGGTAGACAATACTTGCTGCCACAACTTGGTTGCTGGAGGAATTCAGCTCATCCTGCGGGAGAGGTTTCTCAGAAGCTCGCACCTGCTGTCTTCTATCTTCGCTCTATTTTCCTTCTCTCTTTGCTGATTTTGCTATGCGTCTTTTTGCTGTAATCTTAACCATATATATGAGTATACATGTATGTGTAACCACGTATATGAGTATATATATGAGTAAACTAGATATATGAGTCCTATGTCTTCCTAGCAAGTCAGTAAACCTGGGGATGATCTTGGGAACGCCTAACGCACTTTAGCATAATTCTTAGCTGCTCTCTTTTCTTTTCTTCATCCTCTATATTTAATTGTCACCAATTATCATTAATTCTACCTGCAAGTATTTTCAAAAACATGTCCCATATTCTCCACCTTCACTGCTCTGATGCTATAATTGTGACTCCATCTGGGCACCACTGCCTCCTCCACCTTCCCCCAAAAAGCAAAAGTAAAATGCCCAAGATTGGAGGACAGCACCAAGACACCACTACAAGGTAAACTGTCTTTCAAAGCCAGTTCTCTCAACTGTAAGATGGGGATGGTAATAGTGTTTATTTCATAGGGTTGCTGTGAGGTGTAAATGAAAAAAATGCGTAACACTTTACAAGGTTCTCTATCTAAAGTGCTTAGCACACAACAATCCCTTAACAAATGTTAGTTGTTGCTTTTATTTTTATTTATTTATTTATTTTGAGACAGGGTCTCACTCTATCACCCAGGCTGGAGTGTAGTGGTGCCATTGCAGCCTCGACCTCCTGGGCTCAAACCATCCTCCCACCTCAGTCTCCCAAGTAGCTGGGACTGCAGATGTGAACCACCACGTTTGGCATTTTTATCTTTAGAGAGATGGAGTCTCACTATGTTGCCTAGGCTGGTCTTGATCTCCTGAACTCAAGTGATCCACCCTGCCTTGGCCTCTGAAAGTGCTGTTTATAGGCGTGAGCCACCGGGACTGCTCACCTGGTCACTACCTCTGAAACATCCAGTTCTAGCACCAAAAGCAGTTTGTTAGGGAATAGGAACTCAGCTTCTCACCCCTATAATCTGTAGCCCCCCACCAAAACACAGGCATCTCTGTCTGGTTCTAAGTAGCCTAGGATTTGGGGGCACTCTTTTCCTCTGCGTAGGTGTCTCACTGTGGGATTTATGAAGAGATGTAGCTTTCTTGTGGTGGTAGAGGGTGGATGGAGCAGATGGAAGCCAGGATGTCCCTGTAAATTTCCATATTCCTGATGTTACTGCTGCAAATTATGGTCTCCTACACCAGTAATTCTGCAAAACCACCAGCTACTTCACAAGAGAAAGTTATTGCAAAGGACTGAAGAGCCAGGAGCACCATAAATAATACAAATCAGAAAATTTTCTATTTTCAGCGTCTTCAATAACTGTCCCAAAAATTCTTTTCTGAATGAAAACTTTTTGGAATCATTACATTCTCTACAGCAGAAATAATGAAATCATAGGTCCATTACTAAAATAAAGTTTAAATATCTATTTAGATCAACCCCAGGTAAAAATGTCTCCCTCTTTTCTACTCACACCCATAGCGGGAGAGACCTCATGCAGATTTGCATTGTTTTGGAGTAAGAATTCTATGCAGCAGCTTAATTTTTCTGTATTGCAGTGTTTATAGGCTTCTTGTGTGTTCAACTTGATTTCATAAATTAAAAACAATGGTCGGAAAAAAAAAATACCTATTTAGGGTCCCAAATATCAATGTATTTGCGGAGTTGAATTATTCACCCTAAAATTCCATGCTACTAAAAATCACATAGCAATACCTTGTGATTAAAAACAAAAAGAAAAAAGCAGCAAAGGCAAATGGGGTAGTATACTAACTTTATTTTGAATTATTATATAACATGGAATATGTCATCAAAGAAATGAATTAATGAAAAACGTTTGCAGTTCAGTTAAGCAGACGATTTGCATAGGAGTTGCTAGTTTTAAGTCTTAGGATGCGCAGCTAACTGAATTATCAATTAGATTAACATAGAATAATCATTTACATGTGTGAAAATTTTTAAACTAAAAGACCTTTCTGTACAGTCTTTGGCAGGTGATTAATCATCTTCCCTGCTATGGGTAATCTCATCTAGATCAAATGTGATCCTTTTAAGCTAGACACCTCTTACCTACAGTAAGAAGGCCTCCATATTGTTAAAGCTACTGGGTTCAGTTTTATGGCTCTAATATTGTTCAAGAACATTACCCACTTAAAACTATTGACGTAATAGGCCAATGACATGTTATAGTGAGAAGCAGTAAGTTTTTGATTCATCCCATTTTGTCTTTTGGAACTCTGTTACCAGTACCCATAATGTTTTGCTTTGTATCAGTGATTAGCAACTATTTTTTGCCATAAGGGCTAACTAAGGGGAAAATATAAAGCATTTAAGGCCATCTTATTTTCCTCTTCAAAATGAATATAGCTTTTTGAAATTCCCACAGGAGAAAATGTATATTTGTACAAATTTGCTGAATGAAAGAATGTCAGTGAGGAAATTAGCACTGCTTTTCAGCCATCAAAATGTTTATATCTGGGTGTTTTAGCAACAGAGAGCTTTCTAATATTTTATCCTAGAATCAGGCTGCAGGCTTTTTGTATAGCTGGTCAGGCTGTAGGCACCTCTGCAGCCTGTGAGTTGCTCATTTGCTGGAGACATTTATCAAAATATGCTGATTGTTGTTGCATTAATTGTAACAAATTTTAAGAGAATACCTTCTAATTTTGAAGATTATATTCTATTATTTACTGAATTAAAGATAATCCTTTTAGTAACACTGAAAGTTGGTTAAACAAAAATTCTTTTGGGATTACAACATTTTCCTCTAAACATGTCTTTACACAGACACTGACTGAAAACCAGAGCAGAACATGAAGAAATAAACTAAAGATGTGTTTAAATAGCAGAAATACCATTGCGTTTATTTTGGTAAATTACAGAAAGGTTTTATTTTTGTATGTGCAGTTAGGCACTGACTGAGGCATTTAGACACCATTAATTATAAAGTGCATTGAATATAAGTTTTGATCCTCTTCAAAGGAATAATTCAATAAAACTCAGATTTCATTCTTGCAATCAGTCAACTCAAAAACATGCATAGATGAAGACTTACTAAGTACTAACAACGGTCTTTTATTATTTATACTCCTGCAACAGTAATAGCAACATATTGTACTTGCATATATCACATTTTATCCAAGGACCTCAAAGTCATTCTATGAAGCAACACTGTGTTGGAAACTGAAAATTCCACAGCATGTTAGGTGTACTTACGGCATAGGAAATAGATTCCCAACAACAGAGCCAAAATAAAAGACCAAAGAGACAAGCCTATATATTTCTCGTGGTTTATAATTTTCTGAATTTCCAAATTTGCCACCGGTATCGTAACCTACCTACAATGTTGACTCTATGTAAAATTGATTTTTACATGTCAGGAATAAGATGAGGATCAACGAACAAATAAATGCACAGTCTGTCTTTTCTATAGTTCAATAGTCCATCTTTGAATAGCACACAATGGAATGTCAGAAGTGGTTTTTTAATAACATATGTTGACACCTCATTGATTTATAACAATCATGGCTATGGTTCTTGGGTAGAGGAGAACATTTTATACTGGAATGACATATATATGTAGGTAAAATATGATAGATCTATATATTTTAGCACACCTACATTTAACACAAAAGCAAAAGTGCATCAATCCATTGAAGGTCAGCTTTTCAGTCTTTTAAAGGAACAAAGCATTCCGTCTTCTTGCTTAGTACTGAGAACCCTGTCCACCTTAGAGTTTAACTGAGAGGCCCAAGTTAGCATCGTTGAAAATGAGTTTCTGTGGAATCTGCGAACATGCCAGGCAGCCCCAGAGCTGAGTTACAGGACACTGTGAGAAGCCCACGGTGAGGGGGTAAGGGGGGCCCTGAGCTGTTTGGTTCTTGACTGGGTGCACAGAGCGTAGCTCTTCTTTGTCAGGGACCCACAGGGTGGGCATTCTGGGCATTTTTTTTGCATAAAAGAATTTCCAACACTGCTTGAAATGCAATTTCTTTTTGGACAATGTGGTTAAACTTTCTATCTTTCTGTCAGATATGGAGCTAAGTTAGCTCTTCCTAGGACCTTCTTTACTTCTCAGGAGACGCAATATGCGTTCATTTTTGGTTAGTTCTGCCGGAAGTTCATTGGCCTGAAAGAAGAGAAGATGGGCATTAGTGAATCCCCACAGCTGGTGTGGTTTTAGGGACTCCAAGGAGGGGCATTTGACCCACTCTTTCTCCTTCACTAATGAAAAAAATCCACACTGGACTCACGCTTTTATATAAAGGTATTAAAAAATCTTCTTTAAATGTATAAATATTACTTTTATTTCCTTATCTCATTTTTAGAGACATTTTCCAGCCAGATCCCTTACTAGACTGTAATCTCTTAGGGGGAAGGGTCCAGATCTAATTAATCATTGTATCCTTATCTCCACCACAATGCCAGCATGTCTAGAATGTGCTCAGTAAGTACCAGTTAAATTAAATTTTATACCTTATATGTATTTTAATTTATTATTTTATTATTATTATTTTTTGAGACAGGGTCTTGCTCTGTCACCCAGACTGGAGTGCAGTGGTGCAATCATGGCTCACTGCAGCCTTGACCTCCCCAGCTCAAATGATCCTCCCTCCTCAGCCTCCCAAGTAGCTGGGACCACAGATGTGCACCACCACACTCGGCTAATTTCCAGAGATGAGGTTTGCCATGTTGCCCCAGCTGGTCTTGAACTCCTCGGTTCAAGTGATGCTCCTGCCTCAGCTTCCCAAAGTGTTTGGATTACAGGCATCAGCCGCCGTGCCCAGCCTACCTTATATTTATTAATGTATGACATGAGGTAGTCTGTCCACCAAGGACTTGGGACTGAGTCAGGACTCAGCACAGGTATCTTTTTTTGTTTTTAGAGATGGAGTCTTGCTTTGTCACCCAGGCTGGAGTGCAGCTGTGTGATCTCGCCTCACTGTAACCTCTGCCTCCTGGGTTTGTGCAATTCTCCTGCCTCAGCCTTCTGAGTAGCTGGGACTACAGGCATGCGCCACCATGCCCGGCTAATGTTTTTGTATTTTTAGTAGAGATGGGGTTTCACCATTTCACCAGGCTGGTCTTGAACTCCTGACCTCAAGTGATCTGCCTGCCTCGGCCTCCCAAAGTGCTGGGATTACAGGTGTGAGCCACTGCACTGGGCCAGGTATGTTTTGATGAGAAGGCCGAGTGAGGAAACCTCCAGAACATAAGAGACACCTGGGAAAGAACAGCATTGGTGGCTAACACCTTCCACCTGACCCAGTATCACTCGAAGTCCATTCTTTTCACATTGCTGCTGAGATACATCCATTAGGCATCTAGTGAACCAGTCCCTACCATTGACAACAGGTGTGATGTGGACGTGGTTCTCAAACCTGTCGGTTTCAGGACCCTTTATACTCTCAAAAATTATTGAAGAGTCTAACAAATTTTGTTTTTAACTTATTAAAAATGAAACCCGAGGGCTATGTGCAGTGGCTTACACCTGTAATGCTAGCACTTTGGGAGGCCGAGGTAAGAGGACCACTTGAGCTCAGGAATTGGAGACCAGCCGGGGCAACATAGTGAAACCTCATCTGTATTATTTAAAAAGAAAATATTTTCAAAAAGAAAAAAAAAAAACCTGAGAAAAATTAAAAAATATATTTATTAATTCACTAAAAATAAATCCAAGTTAATATATTTATGAAAAATTAAATTTTCAAAAACAAGTAAAAATTCTGAGAAGAGTAGCACTGTAACAGCTTTACATATTTCTTTCATGTGTAGCTTAACAGAATACAATTGGATTCTCATATCTGCATCTGTATCCTGTTGTGATATGTTGTTTTGGTAGAAGGATATAAAGAAAATTAAGCTTCACACAGGTAGTTGGAAAAGGAAGGAGTATTTTAACAGTCTTTTCAGATTGTTGTAGATACTATTCTCTGATGCCACATCAATATTCAACAACTGGCAGTTTCTTAAAGGTTAAATGCAGTGTGAGATGTGAAACCATATCAGTGAACTTTAAAGCCCACAGGTTTATCTATTTATAGTTGGATCTTTTACCTATGCATGGTTTGTAACATGCACTGCTTATTTGGAAAATATCAGTTCACTGAGTTTGTAGAATGTTGGCACATTTCATTGTGCACTATCAAAAACTCACATTCTGGCTGGGTGTGGTGGCTCACGTCTATAATCCCAGCACTTTGGTAGGCAGAGGCAAGTGGATCACCTGAGGTCATGAGTTTAAGACCAGTCTGGCTAATATGGCGAAAACCTGTCTCTACTTAAAATACAAGAATTAGCTGGGCGTGGTGGCGCATGCCTGTAATTCCAGCTACTCAGGAGGCTGAGGCAGGAGAATTCCTTGAACCTGGGAGGCGGAGGTTGCAGTGAGCTGAGATGGCGCCACTGCACTCCAGCCTGAGTGATAGTGAGTGAGACTCCATCTCACAAACAAACAAACAAAACTGATCCATCAGAAAAGCCTTTAAGTTTTGGGAAGCTGTTAAAATCATAGTGGTAGATACCTTGTTCTTTCAAGTAAAAATAGTGTTCTATGAAAAATGTGGCAGGTTCACTTTGCAATTCAAACAACTGCACAGGGGCCAATGCAGCTCCATCTTGGATGCTAATCTACCATGTTTACTTCTTCTTTTTTCTTTTTTTAGACGGAGTCTCACTCTGTTGCCTAGGCTGGAGTGCAGTGGTGCCATCTCAGCTCCCTGCAACTTCTACCTCCCGGGTTCAAGCAATTCTCCTGCCTCAGCCTCCCCAGTAGCTGGGATTATAGGCGTGCAGCACCGTGCCCAGCTAATTTTTGTATTTTAGTAGAGATGAGGTTTCATCATGTTGACCAGGTTGGTCTCGAACTCCTGATCTCAAGTGATGCGCCTACCTCGGCCTCCCAAAGTGCTGGGATTACAGGCATGAGCCAACACACTCAGCCTGCCATGTGATTAACCCTAGTTTGGGGAATGCCTCTAAGATTTCTATTTTATCTACTTTTTTGTTGTGGTTCCTACTGAAAATCCTGCCCATCGACCGTCCCCATAAGTCCTGCCCTTAGGCAGTCACGTAGTGTTCTTGCCTTTCCCTGAGAGGTTGACTTCACTTGTCCTGTATATTCCTTCCCTTAGGCCCTGGGTCTTGGGGGGTGATGTCCCAAGACTGTGACTCCTGTCCCTGTTACTTTCTGAGAAACTGGACATGTTAGCCTCTTTTTATTTTTTTCTTCTTATCTGCTGTGATCATCTGGATGTCAGCTGCTTTCTTGGCCTCTCAGCTTCCTCAGATTTTTGGGGGCAGGTTTGCCTGCTCACTGCCCAACAGGTTCGCTTTTTTTTTTTTTCTTTTTGAGATGGAGTCTCATTCTGTTGCCATGTTGGAGTGCAGTGGCACAGTCTCGGCTCACTGCAACCTCTCCCTCCTGGGTTCAAGCGATTCTCTTGCCTCGGCCTCCCGAGTAGCTGGGACTACAGGCGCATGCCACCAGGCCTGGCTAATTTTTGTATTTTTAGTAGAGACGGGGTTTCACCATGTTGGCCAGGATGGTCTCGATCTCTTGACCTCATGATCCACCCGCCTTAGCCTCCCAAAGTGTTGGGATTACAGGCGTGAACCACCGTTCCTGGCCAGGTGCTTTTTCTTGAGATAATCATCATACTTCAGTAGACAGCAGAAGCACTGTAGGCATGCTCTCCATTTCGCCACACAGAATTTTATTTTATTTATTTATTTATTTTGGAGCCTTATTCTGTCGCCCAGGCTGGAGTGCAATGGCACAATCTCTGCTCACTGCAGCCTCCATCTCCCGAGTTCAAGTGATTCTCCTGCCTCAGCCTCCTGAGTAGCTGGGATTACAGGTGCCCACCACTGCTCCTGGCTAATTTTTATATTTTTAGTAGAGATGGGGTTTCGCCATGTTGGCCACTCTGGTTCTGAACTCCTGACCTCAGGTGATCCACTTTTCTTAACCTCCCAAAGTGCTGGGATTACAGGTGCGAGCCACCATGCCCAGCTCAGAATTTTATTTATTTTTTTCAACAGATGGTCTCACTGTGTCACCCAGGCTGGCATGCACTGGTGCAATCATAGCTCACAACAGCCTCAAAGTCCTTCGGCTCAAGCTGGGACTATAGGTGTGTGCCACTATCCCTGGCTTTTTTTTTTTTTTTTTTCAGTAGAGATGGGGTCTTGCTATGTTACCCAGGCTGGTCTTGAACTCCTGGTCTCAAGCAATCTTCCCACCTAGGTCTCCTGAAGTGCTGAGATTATAGGTGCTGGCCACTTTGCCCCACCATCACACAGAATTTTATTATTATTATTATTTTCGTCATTATTTTTTGAGACAGAGTCTCGCTTCGTTGCTTAGGCTGGAGTGCAGCGGTGCGATCTCGGCTCACTGCAACCTCTACCTCCCGGGATCAAGCAATTCTCCTGCCTCATCCTCCTGAGTAGCTGGGATTACAGGCATGCGCGACCACGCCTGGCTAATTTTTGTATTTTTAGTAGAGACAGGGTTTCACCATGTTGGCCAGGCTGGTCTCGAACTGCTGACCTCACGTGGTCTGCCTGCCTTGGCCTCCCAAAGTGCTGAGATTACAGGTGTGAGCCACTACACCCAGCCAATCACACAGAATTTTAAAAAGATGTATAGAAAGAGTCAAAATTTAATAAAATTGACTTTTTTTTTAAACTGCTTTATCAGAGACATTCTTAAGTACAACTGGTATTTTTGTAAGATAATTTACAAAATTTATAAAATAATTTATAAAGGCTTGTAAAATATTTTGCCAGTACAGTCTAGTGTTCCTTCTTTGATGTGTACTAAGGCCCCAACAGCTTCACCCACCATTGCTTTTGCTTCTGTAGCATTAGAGCAAATGTCAGCACAGTGAAAAAGGCAGGTAACATCTTGTTTGTTTTTCTAGGAGACAGGTTTTCTCTCTCTAAGGCTGGACTGCAGTGGCACAATCATGTAGCTCACTGCAGCCTTGAACTCCTGGCTGGACTCAAGCGATCTTTCCACCTCTGCCACCCTAGTAGTTAGGACTACAGGCACACACCACCATGCCCAGCTATGTTTTTTGTTTTTTTAATTTCTTAAAGAGATGGGGTCTTGCTATATTGCCC